ATGGCGGAGGCGTTCTGAGGTAGCTCCGTGCACCGGGGAGCGGCTCCTCCTCCCCCCGCCTCACGTCCCGTGCCTGCCGCCGGCGAGGCCCCGAGCACGGCCGCTGCCCGCCCCCCCCGCACACACACAGGCTGGGACCCGGCTCCGCGCACGGTTTATTCAGTCAGAGAAGCACCGGAACCAAAGCGGAGCGAACGGCCGGGAGCCGCAGCCTCCGCCTGCACCGGCACCACGCACCCTCGGCCCCAGGCACGGCGCTGATCCCACACTGCGGGATGCAGGAGGGGTGGTTCCGGCCCAGCCGTTGTCTCTGCACCGGGGAGGCTCCCGGCGGCGCCGTCAGGAGATGAAGTGAGTCTGGGGGGTGAACTGCTCCAACTGGTGATCCGCGGGGTTTGCCGAGGCTTCGTAGTTGCAGATGGTGACTTCATGGCGATGAGCCTGCGTTAACGTTAACAGTGTTAGGCCAAAGGAGGACAGAATTCAAGTCCCTTGTAAAACACCCGGCTGGCCAGCGCTGAGCTGGGTGCTGCCATGCACCGTCCATCACAGCCCCCCCCCCCCCCCACTTCGTCCTCACCACCACAGCCCAGCTTCGGCTGTAATTTAAAGCTAGTTTTACGCTCTTAGCAGCGTTGTTCAACCTCTGCTCTTGCTCACCTCCATCCACTCTCCTTTCAGGCCTATGTAAAAGATCTTCGTTGTCTCTGCTCCGAAGTTCTTCGGGAAGTGGATGGAGAGGTGGTGAACATTGGAGAAACGGGCAATTCTGAAAGAAAACGCTGAAACTGGAGCTGTGTGGGCAGGATCCTGTGGTGCCAGCACCTCCCTGCACTGCGGCACCAAGGCATCGAGTGCGCCTCAGGCCTAGGAGCACGGACCCCAGGGTGCAGGAGCAGCTCCCCTCATGCGGCAGGGAATGGGGCGGCGAGGAGCTGGCACAGAGTCCAGGAGCAGGGACACAACTGGGATGATTCCACATCCCGAGGAGTCCGGGCAGGACAGGCACGCTGCTGCTGCCTCTCACTTGACAAGGACAGGATGGCAGATTCCACTGTGAGCAGCGCTGGGATGCACGGGAAGGATCTGCCCCCATCTAACACATCCCTAAAGCCTGGTGGTGTACCCATGGGCCAGAGATAACACACCCCCCCCCGAGCCCAGTGTCGTACTTGGTGGGATACTCCAGCTCGCCTGCCGGGTCCCGGTTCAAGCTGAACGTTTGCTCTGGTTCCCTGTCTGCGTCATCAAAGGACATGTGAGGAATGTTCCTGAAGCTGGGAAGAGAGGGAGGAAACCCAGGAAGTTATTAACATACACGTCAGCCAACTGCCTTCCTCCCCATCCATTAGCACTACCTGGATTCTTCTCAATAATAAGAAACTGGATTTGCTTTGTCTTCTACGGGGGAAAATACCAAGGCCACCACAAAGCATCATTCCAGAATACCCAACACCCTGAAGAAACAACAGGGAAGAGCGAGGAAAAAAGCTGGGGAGATGCAGATCTCAGCACGCTGGGGTACACAGAGCAACCAAGACACATGGAGACCAAAGGAAACCAGGACAACTGCCCCAGTAGAAAGCTGTAATTACAGCTACAGCCAGTGTTGGCACTTCTGCTCAGGAACCTCCATGCACAAGGTGATCCCTGCCAGTGCTTCACATCCATGTCTCTGGAGCACAGAGGACACTGTTGGCTTGATAAAGGCGTATTTCCACCCCCCACAAGCAAGAGCTGCAGAGCACCCAGTACTCTCGTTTCTACTGAGAAAGGGACAGTATTAATCAGGATTTTTGTCCCTTCGAGAGCCAGGCCCCGGGGCTCAGCACAGCCTGGTCCCCCCGCACTGCACACGCTCACTGCTCTCATTAGCTACGAGGTGATCAGCTCAGTTGAGGCTAAGCAAAGCTCAGGCTGGTTTCACTCACAGCCTCATCTCTGCTGGGTGGCTCCCGTCGTCCTCTCCCATCACAATCACTCCTTTTAATTTCACGGTGCCCGTAAACCTGCCGGGAGAGGCGGAAGCGCCCGTTCCATCTCTGCTCCCCTCGGATCGGCCCCGCTTACGACGCTGCCGGCCGAGGGACGGGGAGGGCACTTACGGGACGTTGAACAGCAGCTCCTCGTCATCGTCGCTCTCCACGAACTGCAAGGAGAGAGAAGCGGGTCAGGCCCGGCCCGCGGGGGCAAGAACGGGTCCCAGGGCCGCTCCTTCCCTCCCCGGTGCAGCCCCACCTTGGCTCGGTCGCCGCGCTCCTCCCAAGCTCTGAAGACGAGGGCACCGCTGCCCTCGCGGCGCTCGTTGAGGCACTGCAGGCGCTGCCGGTCGATGCGCAGGTAGAGCCCCCAGGCCGCGCCGCGCTCCCCGCCGCCCGCCGCCGCCTCCTCCCCGCAGCAGCGGCAGCGGCCGGGCCCGTGCGCCATCACCGCACCGCGAGCACCGCGCCTGCGCTGAGCTCCGCACAGCGCCGCCCAGCGGCCGGGAGGTGCTCGGTCCCGGTAAACCGGGTTAGGGGAAGCGGCGCGGCAGGACCCGTCTCTGGCTGCAACCGGGAGCAGCACCCTCCCGCGGGCACCGGTACCTAACACCGCTCAGAGACAGAAGAGAACAAGCAGGCAGGGTCCAGTGTTTGGCTTTTATTGAGACATGATTTTCGGCTTTTCATATAACTTATCTAATTAAAATATTCATCTTAGTTACCACAAAAAAAAGGGAACATAGAAAAGTGTATGTACACAGTTAGGGACCAAAATACAAATGCAAGTCAAAGTCACCCCCCTCCTGCCCGCGGCGTGGCGAAGGGGGAAGAGGCAGCTCTGCTCCGGTCCTTCATATGCGTGTGTGTGTGTGTGTGTGTGTGTGTGGGGAGCACATGGGAATTGCACAAGTAACACCCCGGGCACCTACCTCAGTTCTGGCCCCCTCCCTGCCATCCAGCCAAGCTGCAACACAGAGACACAGGCAGCAAAGCCCAGGGTTGAGAGGGAAGGGGCATCACCCTGTACCAGCAATGCTTTGGGCAGTATCACGTCCGAGTGGCTCCTGTAGTGTTCATCAAGGGGCAGTTTAGCAATGCCCACCTCCTCTGCTCAAGGCTCCCTTAGGGTCTGGCCATGACACCAGACTCCACTTCCCTCCCCCTCTGCCCCTAACCCAAAGTACAGAGGAGAAATAAACGGTAGCACAACGGTCAGCAGAAGATAATATATTGTTATCTAATTAAAAATACAGCAAAATTAAATACAGCAAAAATGCAAGAGTAAGGAGCCATTATTTTACAGCACAACACACACTGAAATGCTGCACGGGAACGTTAAAGCATCTGGGACTGTAACCAACTTACAGCACGTGAGAGTCTGAGAACATTTTTCCAAGACCTTCAAAATAAGGAAAGGAAAGCCCAAACAAAGAGGCAAGTGTGCAGAATGGGTTTAAAGAAAGACAGAAAAGGAGGAAAACAAACACAGGATCCAACAGAAACCAGAAGCATACAGGGATTTTTCTAGAGCCGTATGGGGAGCACAGCAAGGTGCCCCAGTCAGTGCACAGACAACTCCACTGGTTCAGCATTTGGCAGCCACACAAAGCCAGCAGCAACAGCATCCACCATCGACACCTTTTCCACCTCGACAGCACAATCCCAGGGCAGCAAATATGGCTTGGACCAGGAGAACCTCTCCCCTTTCTGACTCAGTCGGATCTCTGAGCCCTGACAGCGCTGCCGCCTGCCCCTGCACCACCTGGGTCTGCCCAGCTCCATCCCCTGCTCACACCACCTCTGGTGAGGTCATTTTTGTAACCCAAAAGTGGAAGCGTTCACCACAATCAGGCTCAACGGCCCACACCCAGGGGCCACAGAGCTCCAGCCCCTCAGACGCCAGGTACAACCCCTTCCTCAACTCCTGCTACCACTCATACACACGTTAAACACAAACCGCGCTCCGTTATTCACTTCCCTCTAACACTATGCAAGTGGGTTTAGGTTCCAAGACTAAAACCCTTGCTTTTTCCAAAGTGGGGACAGACATACAGGGAATAGCCAGGATTTAAAATGGAAATAAATCCTTCCCAATTGCACACAGGAAACGTGATAAAAATATTCCTTCTTCCTACTAAAAGAGGCAAATTGATGCCTTCATTGATCTTTAAAAACTGCTTCCAATTCCAGAGGCCAAGTCCCCTGTAACCTTCTCAATTAAAAGGAGTAAAAATAAAGGAAAAAGACGTTAAAATCTGACTTGGTGCACAGGAAGATTTCTCCCCAAGCCCTTTGTAGTTTTATTCCCAGCAGAAGACAACAGCAGCAGCAGAGGAAAAAGTCCCCAGTGGCTCTTGGCATCCCTGCACAACAATGTAAGCATCCGGACAAGATCTACAGTAACAGCAGAGAGAAGGTCAAGAGCAAAGATTAAGAGACACAAGCAGAGAGCAAAGCCTCAGGACTTGACACACGTGCCAAAAGAGCAGTGAGCAGATGGGTGCTGCCTGTCCCAGGGAGCCCAGGAGGTGCCAGATCACAAGGAAGGACACCCAGTGTCCACTCGGCCAGATGGAGCCACAGAGAGGCTGACCCTCACACTGCATCAGGAGGGGAAGACTCCTGGGAGCAACATAAATACCAGTGGGAGAGGGGGCAAAATATTAATTAAAACCATTTTATAATTTATGAAGAGGTTAAATAGTAAATAGTCTCTGATCTTCCACTCTCAGCAGGTGCCAAGACTTCACATTTTCTTGTGTCGGGAGGTTTTGTACACCCTCCTTTTGACGGATGACAAAGCCAGAAACAGGATGTTAAGGGCAGGTGGAAAAGAGGGGGCTTGACACTGAGAAAGGGACCAGAATAGAAGATAAAATACTGTGCTGTTGTCTTGTGCAGATCAAAGCTTCTCCCAGCAGCTGCAGCCTCCAAAGAGTTCAAGGAAAAGGGCTGTGAGTACCTTCTCCCCCTTCAGTGCCACTCCCCACCAGAGGGCAAGTCCCAGATCTGCACTGCAAGCTTATCTCCGAGAGAACCTGTTTTTGAAAGCTTTGATAGTCTTTGCCATCATGGGTGCAATTTCTGCAACAGAGGAAGGAAAAAACCCCAATCAAACAAGAAAAACCCACAGGAAAACAGCAGTCACAGGCTGGGAGAGCAGAGAGCAGTTCAAAGCTGCTTTCTGCATGGCAAGAAGACAGAATTCCAGTTCAACTCTCCCTGCTTCCTTCCCAAAGGGAGCTGCACTACAGTGTCAGTGTTCCAAACAGCTGGACAGACACAGAGGGACAGCAGGAGGGACTAGGGAGGGTTTCTGCTGCACGGGTACCATCAGGGCAGGCTGATGCAGCCAGCACTGAGCAGGAAGGTGAATGAGATGATCCCCTGTGCAAGAAGTCTGAACAGACTTTATCGCCCTCTCCTTAGGGAGGGGAGAGAGGCCACCAGCAACAACCCTCCCACACAGCCTGGATTTCCCTACAGCAGAAGCAATAGATTTGTGTGTTTGTAAAGGAAGAGATCAAGGAGACCACAGGGTTGTTGTGCAGTTTGTACTTACTCTTCACTGGCGGTTTCTTGGGGTCGTAGGAGGAGAAGGTGCTACCTGAAGATGGGACAGAATGGGCACTGCTGGTGCTGGGCCCATCATAGGACTGCTCCTCACTCACACGAGTGTGGCTTTTGCTAGATGTGTACAGGACTGGTTTTATTCTGGAACAGAGATGGGGCAGGCATTTCAGAAAAGGACTCACTGTGGTTTGATGCAATTCTTCAGACACAAGCCGTGATACCACATGGAACAAGCAGTGACCAGGATCTCCACAATTCCCAGCAAGGAAGAGGCTATTACAAGTTACAAGGACCTCCCAAACACACAGAATCCTTCCCTGCCAGGATGCAGAGCTGCAGAGGGGGAGCTGCCAGCAAAAGAGGCCCTGAGCAGCAAGTGCTCCTGAGCAACACTCACTTTGTCTTCTCCGGCAGCAGAGGTCCTCCAGTTCCAAACTTCTCTTGTCTTCTTCGTACATCCCGAGGGGGCTTTGCTGCAGAGTTCACAAATGCCATTTTGGCCACTCTACCTGTAGGAGACCAGAGGGAAACACTGCTCAGACCCAACTTACTGTCTTACCACAGCAAACTGCAGCCTGCTCTCCCCAGTCCACCCATTCCAAAGCTCTGGCAATAGCCTCCTCCCTAAGGTCTGAACCTCTTGCTGTGACAACACAGGCCGTGAGAAATCAGACTGATCATGTCAGCAGTTCTCACAATGATCACCAATGATCAAAGAGCAGGAATGCTTTCTCCCACCATGGTTTTCTTCAGCCCCAGCACTGAAGGAGAAGCCACTCTAGAAGAGGAGGTGCCTCTGCAGCCCTGCACATTCTTGCTGTAGAGAATTCTCTGGTCTCCATCACCACCTCGATGGATGAAATCGAGGGTGTGCTGCACCGTGGAGCAAAGGCCACCACATAAGACCAGAGAAGCCAAGCAACTCCTCTATTGGACTAGATCCACACCAGTCAGTCCCAAAGACCTTCCCCACACAAAGACATCTCCTGGGCAGTGTCCCCAGCCCCCTCTCTGCTCCTTCAGCTCCCCTTTACCTTTGGGTTTGTTGGCATGAGCGGAGCCGATGTTCCGCGCCAACATGAGCAGCCGCTGCTCCCGCGCGTCGTGCAGGCGCAGGTACATCTCCCGCCAGGACTCAAACTCCTCTGGCTTCTCGTTCTTGAAGTCTCGCAGACAGTGATTGTGCCACAGTTGATCCGTATCCTCGATGAGGACCTGAAGCAAACCCACCCGTGAGCTGGGATCCCTCCCGACACCTTCACTCCCCTCTCCCTCAGCGCCAGGTAGTGCCAAGTCACTGGAATGCCACAGAGGAGCCTGCTTGCAGCAAGAGATGGGCAGATGGCAAATCCAGGAGGTCAGGACAGCAAAAGCCACCTCTTGTTGAACAGAGCATTGTTCTTTACTGTTCTGCTATTGCAGATGAGGACAGAACCACTCCCGCGTGTCACCGTCACCTCCCCAGGCCAAGGCACTCACGTGGTTACATTCCTCAATGCGGTACAGCTGCTCTGGGGTGCATCTCTCCAATACTGGCTCCAGCACCGAGAAAGGGACACCACCCACTTCATAGATTGCTAGAGAGAAGCAAGATGCACAACATATTTACCCTCCTCCTTCCTTGCTGAGGAAAGGGTTTGACACCTTGAAATGCAGCGGAGGAAACTGCAGCGCTGCACGGAACTAGGCAGTACGAGGGGAAGGAGAAAGGAATCATGAGTGCAATAGCACTAACAAGTCATCAGGGACCAGGAACTCCAAATGAAGCACTACTGGTGCTTCAGCACTCCCCCAAGCACATGGACTGCTGCCTCCTGCAGCACCTGAGCTTTGAGAGAGCTCTGTCCCACAGCAGTTAGGATGCCTTGTGACAGGGAGGACTTCACATCAACTGCTGGGC